GTATGTGGTTATACACACATTAAAAATAATAATAATGTTGATGCAGGTAAATAAAAATATAAAACATTACGTTAACTTCTTTCTGTACTTTTAAGTTTCATTTTTTTCCATAGAAACAGCGCTCCCGCATCTTTCTTTTCTTTCAGCATGCATATAAGTCTGTTCTTTCTGGGTTTACCGCCTTTTCATTCCTCTTCTTTATCATTTTGTTTCAAAGAGAAAATTCTACTTGACCATCATTCTCCTCGAAAAAACATAAAAAAATACACATCAGCTTTGCCCGTTTAACGACAACGGTTCTATTACTTCCTATGCAATATGGATAGTCTAAGAGTAATTGAACTAAGCAAAACTTGCTCCTCCATGAAGTGTTGGCGTAATACTTTTGTGGTATTGTCGCTGAATTGAAAAGACAGTTGCAATAACCATCGCAGCTCCAAGAACAAGCACAAGCATCGTGGGACCACGGGTATCGTCGTACCGCATGGGCTCTCGCATATATATTTTGTGAGCACGATCCCTAAAAACAAATAGGGAGTATACCATAAATATAATAGATACAGGTAATAAGACCAGGCCGGCCAGATCAGCAGCAGTACTCGAAGTATCACCGAAGTTCAATAGTGTCAACGACATCAAGCCAATCATAACTGAAATAGATAGCCACTTGAGAAACGTCCTCTCATTAGCAAAGAAAGTCTTTGGGTCAATTTTTTGAGGAACGCAGATACGTTTGTCGTTAACAGATCCTGTTAAATTCCTCCCACCTGGACCTTGCAGGTTCATGTATTTTTCATCGCCATCCGCCTCACCTTCCGCCCACGGTTTTGCTGTGCTTTTAGCGCAGCAAAATACGGATAACCCTTTTTCAAAAAAATCACTCATATTACTTACACATGAGTACACAATCAAAATCAAACAAAAATAAACAACACATCCGTACAAACAAACAAAATTCAAAAAAAGAAAAACAAATACAATATTCACAGAGTAAGCAGATATGATAATACACATTTCACGTAAACGCCAGTCGAAAGATAAACTAAAAAGGATAAATAAATCCATAATAAAAACAAACAATTTTTTCTTTTAAATGTAACACTAAAACAAAGGTAAAAAAAAAGAAAAAAAACATCTTAACAACCAGACATTTGCGCAAAATTGGCAAAAAAAAACAGGGAAAAACATCTCAAAAAAATCAAAAAAGATCTAATTATGACAGCGACACATATACGAACCAAAGTCATAAGAAATAGTGAGAGAGTCTCTATAGAGGGGATAAAAACTTCACGAACGTTCCAACCCCACGTATGATGCAGACACACCACTCAAGGTGCCAAGCAAAAACCACATCAACGCTTCATAAGCAATCGTAATGGATACCACTAATAATAATAACTTAGTATGTAAGTGAAGCTTAAACCGTCCACTTGCATATCCCATTTTCTAAATTTCCATGACAAACGAGATAACCTTTGTTCAAGCATCTACTCTTGGAATTTCTTTGTTTTTGTTTTCGTTTTTCTTTATTAGAACAGCTCTTCCAATACAAGACCAAACTATGAGAATGAAGAAGCGTATACCCCCAACAAATAATACAGAAAGAGAAAAATGTCTCCGCTGGAATTTTTTTTAGACTAACACCATAAAAATAAGACATGTCCATGGTTAAAAAGCACCATGTCGTACATCGAAGTTTAATAATGGCCTGGACGATGCCACTCATACACCTGTACCATGAGTCCGGTTTCTCTAACCATCACCCTACATGCCCCATGATAGCCTAAACGATGATTGTAAAATAAAAGAGAAATGCGGAAAAATCAATGCATAGTAGGAAATTCCAAGAAAAAATCTGAAAAGAAAAAAAACTACATCAACACCAAGTAAAAAAAAAAAAAACAAGCAAATGAAAAATGTAAAGCACCTGTATGAATCATTCTCCAGCATTTAGTAGTTTTTCTTCCTTTTGAAAAAGACGTATCAAGAAGTCAAACATTACTAAAACAATCGATCAGTAATACAATTTAACATTGCCCGTGTATCTCGGTATTGACCTTTTTCTTCCCCAAGAAAAGAAAACATCGCCAAACTAAACACCGTTGCTACCTTTGTTCGCTTCATATACCACTCGTAACTAAGGAGTCCCTCCCCCATATGAGGGCCAGTAGAAAGAGGGATTGAAGAAACAAACCTACGCCAAAATCGTTCCTCATCTGTTTCTTGCTGATACTCCCCATCCTTTTTTTCACTCCTTTGTGGAAAATGATGTGTTGAATAACCAAGACGAGATTTAAGAAGTAGGTTCCCTGAAGCAATGACAGCCCCAAGATTTTCCATACGCTCCGCATAATAGCATGTAGTGTCAACAAATTCAGCCAAATTCTTCACCGCAAATGGTGCATTACTTGGTTTCCATTCCAACGCCACTGCTTCCGGCCAGTGACTAACGTAGGGAACCAAAGCGTTAATCTTTGTTAAGATTGCCTCCTCAACCACATTCTTCACCCCAGGGGGGCTGTATTGCGCTGCTCGACAATTTTCACCATTTCTAGCGATAGAATTAATAATAACATTTTTATTAAAACGCTCTTCTAGCCTTATATGTACCGCCTTATTCGTACTTTCCACAATATATTCGACTAAGGCAATAGGAAACCCCCGTGGAAAGAGATTAACAAAATCGATATCTGCTGTATTTATTCTCTCTTTATATGCATCAGTTTCTTGAATTGCACTTAGTGCAAGGGGAAATAAGGATACATTTGAAAATCCGTGAGTAGGAACCAATCCAGTGGCCTTTTCCAACAGATCCTTTCTAACCTGCGCCAAGTATGCGGCTTTCATGGGGAATCCAATGTAAAAGTTTTATTCTCCTATCCTTCCAAAAGGGCGCAAAACGGAAAGAAAAAAAATACAAGTACGACCTAAGCGCAGCACAAAAAACGCACGCAAAAAAAAAAAGAACCAAAACAATTGCGCGGAGTGACGGCGGCAGCGGGCGATCCCCCTGGGGGAAGAAAGTGGAAGAAGCCACTGCACCCCCCCCTGACTTAAGCCGCGAGCGGCCCAGCGTCAGGTTCGGCCTGGTGGCGGGCGCGGCGTGGGCCTCTTCTTCCATTGGGGGGGCGCCCGCTGGTAGATTTTAATGGTGCTGTCTGTTTCCGGATGCTGCCGGGGCCCGTGCGGGGGCGGATAAATAAAAGATGTACGTTTTTTTTTTTTTTTTTTTTGGGGGGGAGGGGGACGCGTCTTGCTGATAGTTTTTTTGTGTGTTTCTATTATGGTTTTCTCTTCGTTTATT